GGCGTGGCGTTTATATACGCAATCGCGATCGAGCCTGGCAATGCCAAGACAAATGCTTTTGGCGTGCCTGTAGAATATCAGAGACAGCTCCAGCGCTGCTTTTGTCAGCTGCCGCAGTCTGGGTGCAAGAAACCCCGGAAAGCTGGGTGGGGCAGATACCCGCGCCTGCTCTGATTTCCTTGCTTTTGGCAGCAGGCTTGGCACTATGGCGTGGTTTTGTGCGGTTGCTTTTGTTGGGTGCAAGGGGCAGCCTTCTAGAGCAAAACGTGCGCAGTGACTGCGGCTAGGTAAGGCAATGAGCACGGATCCAGAACAGCCTTTGTTTGGTGGACCGCTGCTTGGAACAACATTTTGCCCAGACGGAACATCCGGTGCTTCTATTTCTGCTGGAGTATTGGTTTAGCCATTGGTGCTTCCTTTATAAAAAGCAGATGTGGTTCAGTCCGTCGCCAGATTTAATGGGCTCAAGCGCCCAGCTATTGCGTGATTCTATTTACGAATTCTTTAGTTTGAGACAGAGGTCGCACTCACTTCAAAGCAGTTTTGCACTGCATACAGAGAACGGTTGGAAATTATATTTTCCGGGATCGTTTTGGCAATTGGACACGAAAAGAAGCAAGAAAAAGCGGTTCAAATTTTCGCCAGAATTAGCTGCGATATCAATTTATTGCCTATGTTTCATTTGCATGGCACTCAACAGGTCGCTTCACCGGATTCGGGTGTGCGAGCTAGCTTATCTCCTGTAGTATAGTGGTGAGTACACCAGTCTGTCACATTGGAGACCCGGGTTCAATTCCCGGCAGGGGAGCTTCTTTTTGCTACTCTTCCTTTTTTTTGTGGCATTGCGTCCGTCTACTGATCCGCTCTTTCTCTCCAGACCGGAGAGATCAAGCACGGGCAAATTGTCTCGACCTCTGTTTTATTTAACAGCCGGACATATACGTCACAATCAGCTATTTAGGCGGCATCTAGTAGCCTGAAAACCCACTGTGCAATAACATCGGCTAGCTCTGCCAGAAACTGCAGCAGCTGCTCATGGTATGGCCAGGTGGCGATTGCAATACTCAAAGCCATGGCAGCCAACAGAGCTATACCCAAGGCATAGCGTATCCGCTTAGCAAGCGTGTGTCTTCCCAACGGCGGAGTGCTTCCTGAGCGAGCCGAGACTGGAGCTGGCAAAAGCGGAGTGGATTCAGTATAAGTGTCCTGAGCATTGCCTGAATGCCCGTCCAGTGGGCCTTCAACTGAAGGCTGCAGCGAGCGGCTGGACTGCGAGCGTGCTGTAGGAGAGGGTGTTAGTGGACAGGGCACATCGCGGTAGTAATCTACCAGCCAGTATGGCAGGCTCTCAACCTTGTCTTGATGCATAAGCGCAATGCCATGGGAGTACAGGTCAAAGTCCAGAACAGGATGTACTAGCGAGCTCTCAAAAAACAAGTGATGCAGCCAGTCTGGCAAGAGGCCGTTGCTGTTGTTATCCAAATGCACCTCAATGGTTGCAAACGGCAGTCGCTCAACGACTGATGTTGCAGGTGTAGGGCCATTAGGAAGCCTGTCATCTAGCAATTGTTGCAGCCAGCACAGACCATCGTCGTTGTCGCTGGTTGATGCTGTGTGCTGAGACATCCTCTCATCGTACGATATAGCTGCATTGCGCTTGAGCACAATGCGGATGCCAGGGTTTGCTGGATCAGCGTATTCTGCACGCTCCTCGGTTGCTAGTAAAACAGGGCTGAGGTTCTCCATGATGATGTGTCGCTGGATCCTTTGTAGTGTGCGTGCTCGTGCACGTCTCTGCGTGGCAGATTCTTCTTCCTCCTTCACCTCCTCTTCTTTTGTAGTTGGCCTAATGCGGTCAAAGTTGAAGTCGCTGTTCAGAAATGGCAATACATATTGAGAACCCAGGGTAGCGCTTGTCTTTGCAACGCTGCCAGCAAACCAGGGGCCAGTGTAGGAGCTTTGCTCCAGGTGGACAATCTGATTGTCTTGCTCTGACCGCCACAGCTGTAGCGATTCCTTGGTCGGTGACTCTACCGATAGACCAGATTGGTATTTTGTCATCGCTGAATCATCAAAGTACACAGTCAGCGTATCTCTACAACAGGCGTCAAGAGGGGGGTGTTGGTTTTGTGGCTGGGATGCAGGTTCATTATTGCAGAGGGGGGCCATTTGCGTGCATATTAATTTATGCACCTTTCCAGCATTATCTGGATAGACCCAGCCACACACCAAGGCTAAACCAGGAAATGAGCAGAGCCCACCAGCCATTCCGCTGCCAGCATAGCCCTGCTGAATAGCGGTGTAAATTTGTGAAATGCGATGCAACTGCTGTGTCTCGAATGACGACTCGTGGAACAGGGAGGAGGAGGCGATGAGATCGACAAGCTCTTCAAAGTGCCTCTGGCAGTGCCGACGTAAGCGGCTGAGCGATCGCCACAAGGCCGTAAAGTTGCTTCTGCGGAAGCGAGCAAGCGCAGGTATTTGGGAGATGGCCGAGCCTATGGTCTCCTCAATTTGGCTTAGCCCCACTAGCTGCTCGCCATAGTCGAGTGCCGAAAGAGACATGAGATAGAGTTCGCAGGACCCAACTGTATGCTCAAGCTCTGCTCCTTTCATATGCACAAACGAGCTGACCTTGTCCAGCTGCCTGTGCAACTCTCCAGCCACCGCTTCGCAAGTTGAGCACCCATGCTCGCTGGACTGACAGGGGCACGCTGTTGCATCAAAGGTAAAAGATGATAGTAGGCTGTAGTTGACGTTGTAGCATCTCCACTCAGCAAACACAGGCTCGGGTACTGTATACAAGCCTGACGCTGTGTAGGCTGATGCACCGTCTTTGTTGTTGCTGTTGCTACTGCTGCTGTGAGTGTTGCTGCCATACACCATGGGCCGAAAGGGTCTGCTGGGCTTGTATGCTGGGTAAAGAGGCGTTATGCGGTATCAAACTGCGTGTGCACTTGCAAACGAAAGAAGCAAAGAGGATATATTAAAGGCAAAAAAGGACGAGACGAGGAAAGGAAAAAGAGAAAAAAGAGGGTTTAAATAGGGTGTGAACAAGATGCCAATGCGGAAGAAACGAGCACAAGGTGTCAAAGTGATAGTGCGTTGGTCTCAGAAGGTCATTTCGGACAATTGCCGATGGCTTGATGCTCAGCAAGAACATGGCATGTATTTCGAACAAAGGAAGGTAGGCTACTGATGACCTTTATATTCGTTTTTTTACGAGTGCACAAACCGGAGGTAGAAGTTGACGAGGATGGCGCAGATCAGAACAACGACCAGGACTGTTGGACCTCTGCGGTCATCGTAAGGGCCGGCATCACGCCGACGGATGCGCTCGGCACGCCACTGGAAGAGCATCAGTGCGTAGACCATGACAATCATCGCAACAAGTGTGAATGCAGCGCCAGCGATCTTGCCGGTCTGGTCGCCAAAGTTGAGCAGGCCAAGGGCAAGCGAGCCGAGGACGATGGCGAAATTGAGCCAAGAGAGGAAAGTGCGCTCATTGGCAAAGAACACCTTGGGCTCAACGCGCACAGGAACTGCGATGCGCTTGCCAGAGTTGTCGCTGCGCGGAACAAAGGGGACGCTGCCATATGATGTGCTGCTGAAGGGCTGGGCCTCTTCCTGAGCCTGGCGGTGGCCCTGGACGGCAATAACGCTAGCGTCAGTGTTTAGAGACATCGGCTGCAGGTGTGGATGCTATATAGTGCGGTATAGTAAAAAAAAAAAAAAAA